AGCCCGACCTACGGCTCTCGCCGTTCTTTTGGGACGGATCACGGGCCACCGTGCGCCGTCGATGCTTGTACGAGAGACGGCGGCGCGTGCTCTCGAGGAGAGGAGAATCGATTGGGGTTACTCGAAACCTGTAGTTGCCGCTGATATACTGTGGAACACTGTTCTGGTGATTGTGTCGGCGGTTATGCTCGTCGGTACCGTCGAAGAAAGACCTAACGAGCCGATTAGGGTTTGGATCTGTGGTTATGGGTTACAGTGTTTGATCCATGTGGTTTTGGTTTGGTCTGAGTATTGGAGGAGAAACACGAGACGTAGAGCTAGGGATTTGGAGTCTGGAGAAGAAAGTGCTGATCTTGAAGGGAATTTAGATTACAGTGAGTATGATTATGAACAAGACAGTGACAATTCAACACCATACAGGTTTGATTATGATCTAAATTTCTGGTTTTTAATGATGATGAATTGATGTTTTTGTCTTGAATTGAAAGTGTGATAAATTGTTGTTGTAATCAGTTTTGCGAAACGATGTGAGTCGATAAACACTATGATTTCATTCATATGGTGGATCGTTGGATTCTATTGGGTAGTTGAAGGTGGAGATAAGCTTTTAGGAGAAGCTCCTAACCTTTACTGGTAAGTAAGAGATTTATCTCATTGTGCTCGGTTTAGTATCAAGAAGATTTGCTTTGTGTGTTGACATTTTTATTTGATTTTCGCAGGTTGTCAGTGATTTTTCTTGCGATTGATGTGTTCTTCGCCATTTTCTGTGTTGTTTTGGCTTGCCTTGTTGGAATTGCTCTCTGCTGCTGTCTTCCTTGTATAATCGCCCTTCTTTACGCTGTTGCAGGAACAGTATGAACATGAATATAGCTTCTCGAAACATGGATTTTTTGTTGTTGTCGTCTTAAAAGTTTACAATTTTTCGTGCGGGTTATAATACAGGAAGGAGTGTCAGAGGCGGAACTCGGTGTTCTTCCGAGGTACAAATTTCAGGCTTTCAATAGCAATGGAGCTGGTAAAATGGTTCCTCTTCCGACCAATGGCTTATCCTTAGCAACTGAAAGAACACTGCTTGCCGAAGATGCGGTAAAGCTAATCTATTACGACGACAACAATTTGTTACTTTGAAACTCTGCTTTATAAAGTTTTCAGAGATGTCTACTTGATTTTTTTTTACAGGACTGTTGCATATGTCTGAGCTCTTACGAGGATGGTGTAGAGCTTCATACTCTTCCTTGCAACCACCATTTCCATTCAAACTGTATCGTTAAATGGCTTAAGATGAGAGCAACATGCCCTCTCTGCAAATACAACATACTTAAAGGAACCACTGATCAATCTTGAAGAGACAATATAATAAAAGCAGAGAGACACAAGATTCTGCACATATGGAATCATGTTCCATTTCCTTGATTAAAAACTCTCCTGTATATACATTAACTATCAAAATCATGTATCTTTGGTTAAAAGTATTCATATTTCAAATGTAAAAGATCACATTTTAGAAATGCCCTTTAAGTATACTTGCCCATATTTGGGAATACAGCAGCTGACTGATAGCAAATCACCAGATTAAGTTTAAGTACAGCTCACTTCGTCGTCACATCTTTTGCTGCAATCTGTATCGTTTACTGCTGTTGCAAGCCCTCTAGTCTGCATATCGAGAAGCAAATCCGAAGCAGCAGCCATGTCTCCTTCTTTTTCATAAGCTCTAATCAACAGATTGAAAACAGCTGAATCAGGACTTATTCCACTTCTCAACATTTCATCGAAAACTTGTCTTGCCTCGACCATCAAACCTTTGCTAGCTAACCCGTAAATCAATGTTGTATAGGTTAACAAGTCGAGCTCGAGACCCTCTTGAACCATTTTGGTTTTTAACTTAAAAGCATCAACCAAATTCCCTTGCTTACACAACCCTGCAATCCAAGAAGTGTACATGAACTTATCCGGAACAAGTCCAGCCTCTAAAATTTTGCTAAAGAGTCTCTCAACTTCTATAAAGTCTCCTTCTTTGCACAAAGCATCGATAAGCACAGTGTACATAATATCATTAGCCTTCTCTTCACAGAAATAAGCAATAGCTTCGTGTAGTTGTCCATTCTTCGCAAGCCCATCGATCAAAGTCGAAAGAGCTACAACATCTGGCTCAAAGCCTCTCTCTATGAACCTGTGATATATGTTAACCGCAGCTTTCATGCGTCCGGATTTGAAATAAGCGTTCATCATTGTTGTAAAAATCATCATATCAGGAACTAAACCACCTTTCTCCATATCTTCTACAAGCTCTGTCGCCTCTTTTAGTTTACCATTACCGCAAAGGCCTGATATGATTACGCCGTAAACTGCTATATCAAGTCTCATCCCTTGGTTAAGCATTTTGGCTAGAAACTTCATGGCATTATCACAATCTCCTTTCTGAAAATACCCGTTGATCATCGTTGTGTATACAAGAGCGTTCGGTTCAACTCTATTCTCGTGCATCTGCGAATACAATCCCTCAGCTCTCTTCATTTCCCTTTGTTTGCAGAAACCATCTATCAAAGCAGTATAAGTAACAACATTCAAAGACATCCGAACCCGTCTCATTTCTTCGTATAACGAAACCGCAACCTCCAAATCACCAGCTTTACAACACCCATCAATCAAACAAGTGAAAGTAACCACATTTGGAGACAAAGCATCTCTCTTCATACAATTAAAACTCCTCAACGCCAACTCTAACTCCCCGGTTTTGCAGAACGTATCGATCCAAGTACTATAAGTAACGACATTCGGCGAACAAGACTTCAACATAACACCCATATACACAAAAACTTCCTTCAACATCTTCATCTTACTAAACCCATTAAACAAAGAGTTGAAACTAACTAAATCAGGTCTGCAAATAACCCCATTAGAGGAGACTCTTAATCTCTCTAACATCAAACTAGCATTTCTAATATCGCCATTTCTACAATACCCATCAATCAAAGAGTTATAAGAGACAACATCTGGTAAACATCTGAATCTATGCATCGAGTGGACAATATCTTGACCGAATTGAACTTGTCCTGATTTGCAAACCAACGAAACGACCGAATTGAATGAAGAACGATGAGGAATGTAACCTCTGGAGACTAAGTAAGCTAAGAATTTGAGAGAGAGATCTCCGCAATTCGAATTGATGAGGTGATGAATGAGCTTGTTGCAGGTAAATTGGTCTGGGAAATTCGAGGAATTTCTCAGTCGAGAGAGAAATTGAAGAGCTTCTCTGACCATTCATGGACATGGGATTCTTCAGACGATTCTAAAGGTTTAAACTTTCAAATATATAAAAAAGCGAAAATCTAACGAAGAGTGCTTAAACCCTAGAAGGTTGAAGAGAAGAGCATCGTTCGGTTCTAAACGACACCGTCTTCAAAACCATGAAATTAACATACAAATATAAAGATATATATGTTTGCTTGTGATAAAATATACTTTTGCTTGTGTGTGATTATCAATCAAGCTCGGCGGCTGCTGCTATAGTCATAAGGATGGGTTCCTTGTTCGACCCTTGTTCGATCCCGTGGAAATCTGTGGATTAGCACATTGGCTGAAACACATTTTATTTAGTGGCTTAGATAAATTCTCTGGTGAAAAAGATGGACTATCACCATGTTTAATATTTTGTTAATGCTAATTAACAATGAAATATTTTCATTACTTGTAATCTCTTTGGTTTTCTTTTGCTAGTTTGAAGATTTCCGTAGAGCCATTCAAAAGATAAAGATTAGTTAATAATCGCATTATTCTTGTTACAATAGTGATTTGTTAATGTTGTTTGTTTTGACAGGATAATGAGAAGTCAAATTAAAAGACCGCTGGAGCCAATAAATCATGGAGAATGTGAATGGTAACGAAGCATATTCCGATGCTTGATAGGAAGCACGAGACAGCTACGGGTAGAGATTGCAAGAGCTGGCTGTGTAGGTCTCGGGTATACACCATAGCGATTTCGAGATAAACCCTAGAAATATTGAGACAGCTATGAGTAAAATATAAACCCTAGAATATTGAGACAGCTATAGGTAGAGATTGCAAGAGCCGGTTGTGTAGGTTTCGGGTAGCAATATTGTAAGGAAAATTGTACAACGGTATTCTATCAATGGTAACGCTTATTTGAATTGATTTAGGAGCCACAAAGTTGGAGTATAGTGTTTTTCGAGATGGGTGTGCAAGAAGGATAACTTAAAGATGCTCTAGAAAGGTAATAAAAAAACTTGTATTGAATTACAAAATTATCCTAAGATCGTCTTTCCATTCCTTTTTGATATCAGGTTATGAGCAGCCTGGTTATGAGGTTATCTATATTTTCTTCTCATCTTTTTATTGCACATTTTTGGCACACCTAAATCTGTGCAACAAGAAACCATTTTCTTTGATGCATATCATAAGTTACAACATATGCAAAACAATAAGTATCGCCTTGCTCAACTCAAATGACATCTATGTCAAGAACATCTTTGTGAGCAACAACAACATAGAGGTGAATGACATCATAGATCCCTAAAACCGTTAGGGAATTTGTTAATCTTTCTAACACCATGTCAACAGAGATGGTATGTTTAATACCCATATTTTCAATATCTCAATCCGCTGGAATGTTATCTTCTTCATCATGCCATTGCCATTGCGGAATGCTATCTTCTTCTTCCATGATTATGTCCAAAATCTCCCAATGTCGATCATTTT